CGTTCAAGATATGTATTGCAAGCAGCATGTGCTCTTATATTCAAATATTCATAATCATTCAGATTATCAAGTCAGTCAGATACTACTAAGTAGGTACTAATAAAAAAACAGTACTGTTTAAATCAAAAGCGATTACCAATTGAGTTACTTTTAAATTTAGAATAGCTACTAATATGGGCAATCTCATGGCACAAGAGTTTAACAATTGAAGGTAGGAAAGATACTTATTCCTCAAGAGTCAAAATAAGCCTTCATAATTTTTGGTCTATAACATCAACTTTCAAATTGCAATTCAAAAATCACACAAATCAAGAAGTATTGAATCATAAATTAGTAGAAATTGTGGCTTTTTTTTTAGTTTGGCAAATAACATCTCCAGAAAAATGTTTTACACAAAATCCTTACCGTAACTGAAACCGAAAAAATTTCTTTAAAACAAAATCAAGTAAATCCAAGCGTTTGGTAGGATCTAAAAATTGTTGTCTTAAACGCCATGCTTCCATTAGATTATATCCCAAAAATGTCACAGATTTATTTTTCTAAGGTAATCCGAAATTCACAGAATGGACATGTGCCACATACTGACTTGAGTCAAGTTGGTAGTGTATAAATAAAACATCATGGGTCTACTCTAACTTTAGAACCGGTAAGATCAGAATTGTTTACAGGTTTGTACAAGTTATTTCACTCTTATATATGTAATTTAAAAATATAAAAAAATATGCAAAGTATATATGAAGTTCTTTCACTGTAAAAAATTTTGGTTTGAATATAATTCTTACTATGAAGTCCAGAGATTTGTCTATTTCAATATCAACCTTCAATATTGGCTCAGATGTCTCTTTAAAATAACCTTGATTACAACTGCTTCTGTCTATTAATGTGTAAGACATAGGTTATATCTTCAATCATTTACAAGTTATTTTAAAGGATTTAAATTCTCAAACATCAACGATTAGCTTATCTATCTTTAATTCAAAATTCCCTGATTTATTTGATTTTAATAAATGATGGGTCGTTATTTTCTTACTTAAATAAACTTCAATTCAAGTTTAAAATGATACAAAATAAGTATCAAGATATTAAGGTTTGGTGCTTATATGGAACGAACAAAATGAATATATATATTAAATTCTTCACTTAACAAATCATATTCCATACCAGCCTGTTTTTATATCACTCAGTCAAACGATTAGTGATAAATGAAACTTGGTAAAATTGTTAAGTATTGTAGATGTTCCCCTCCTGCTACCCATAACCTGATAAAAAGGAATGCTGGAATTATTTAGGAGTTCGGTTTACCCTCCCCCAACATTCCATTGTCAATTCTCTAGTCAATAGAAACATTCTTACTGAACTTGATATCTATAATTGGGTACATTCATTCAAAGTGAAATCACTATAAGTTCAAGATGGTTCAAGACACATATCACGACCAAACTAACTCTATTGCTTTCTAATATGCTTTTCAAAATAAAAAAACTGATACTTCTAAGTTTGAATTTCAAACCAAGTACATATATTTTCAAGTTTCTTTGAATTTAGGATAGTTATTGAAAACAAAAACATGCTGATCCTACTCAAGTATTAAATCATATATAATGGGTTAGGGAGTTTGAAGTTGGCAGGGTTTAATCCTGGCATATGTCTTGATAGTAAGTTTAAATTTAGCATCCTCAATGATGCAGGTCATACATGCATCTAGTCGTTCAGACAAGATATTAATGGTATATCATCTCTGAGTTTAGAGTTTAAAACTATCTGTCCATTTGTATCCAGCCAAATCCAGTAAATAGAGGCTGTAAGTTTTAACATTCTCAGTAATGTACTATAATGTTTAAAAACAATTCCACATCTTGCCATCTGGTGAAAAACAAACTTAGTCTCTTTAGCTGTTACTATCTTAAAGTGAATTTCAATTAACATTTTTCAGCAAAATCAAAATTGGACAAGTATTTTTTTACTTCTCAAAAATGGAACTGGACCTTTATGGCACATTTAAAGGGATTGAAATGGTTTTTCTAATTTTTGTATGAGTATAGGGAACAGGGATAGCATCAATTTGCACCATGCCAATTTTCAATCAGACGCCTTTGGTTAGTGCAATTTCACTAAAACTAAGTGTTTGATGAGGTCACTTAACATTAAGTGATAAAGAATATTTGCACAGAATGTATAATTTATCTGCATTATGTGAAAAACAGGAAAAGTGACAAGACAATTTGAACAGGTTTTTTTATCTATGGCGCCAACAACATTACCATTTTATCTTGAAATTTACTTTAAACTACTAAGTTAGTAAATGGAGGGTGAAGAATAGTATTTATGTTACCAACAGTCATTAAATTTGACACCTATTAGGTATTAGTATGTTTATAGGTTGTTCAGCTGATGAGTCAAAATACTAATAATATTGACTATCAGGATACTAACAGTGGAAGTAGGTAAAAGTAAGTACTACTAAAAGTATTAACAATTTATACAGACAAAAATGGCAGATGGCCAGAAATTTCTTTCAAGAGGCCCTAACCATTTTTAACACTTAACGGAACAATATCTTGATTGTCATTAAGTGGAATGAATCAGGGTTCTCTTTCTACACCCAGATTTTTATCAGAAACTGCAGAATCATCAAGATAGTGTAAGTGCCTTTTCTCAAGTCTAAACTAAAAGTTCATCAGACCATGAGAAAAGATGTATTTTCAACCCCGCTTAAAATGACTGAACAATAATGACCTGACAAGGGAATACTTCTATTCTAATGTGTAACCATCATGCATCACACAATTCCTTGACACCAAACCACTTGATGACAAAGAGCTTTCTGAATTTTTACACATACACCAACAGAAGCAGACGGGGAAAGGAACTATAATTTAGCACAATTTTCAAAAGAGTATTTATATGCTTGACCTAGTATCTATTCTTACTAAAATCTTTGATCACGGCTTCTTAGGCTGCAACATTCAATGTCCACGCGCTTGCTAGTCACCTGACACAACACAAGCTATAATTGGATATCAATCTCGCTGCTCTATATATAGAGTAATTATGTCACTATTACTCAATAAACTAATTACATAATGATTCTTCAATCTGAAATTAGAAAGTAAAATTCAGCTTACCTTAATCTTGGCGTTCTTGGAATCGTGTCTCCTGGAAGAAAAGAAAAACCACGATAAGATTTATCAAATAATGCCCACATAACTACACATCAGTCCAAACAAATTCTTATAAACAAGTGATACAATCCTTCACACTAACACAGCAGCACAGAATTTTAACGACTTTTGTCCACACTCGGAACAAAGACAGCATGCTGTGTGTTTGGGTCACATGCCGACTTAAAAAAAATCAATAAGAGTTCCATGAGTCTGAGAGTTTCAGAGTGAATGATGCCAGCAACTAGCCTCAAGGCATCCACAGAGAATAATTAATATTTTTATCAATAAAAGTATTTCAAGAGGAAAATAATTAAGTCATTTACTGATTAATGTTTAATTTCCCACTTTTCACTTCCCATAGAAATAAAGTTCACATGAATGTGTTGTAAATTATATATTTTATAGTTCATTTCAAACATAGTTCACAGACAATATTATTGAATTTAGCTCTATTATTTGTTTAGTATTATTTGTCAGGGTTGTCCAGTAAGTTTTCCATCCTACTTTTCCAGTCTAATTGTATGGATTTTACTTCAGGCCTGAATCGGCCTGTTGAGTATACCCAAAGTATATCATTCGAGTAAATTATTGTCACAGGGCATGTAATTCCTTAACTAGGCTTTTTAAGAGGTAACTTTCCGGATTATTCATCCCCATTTACAGCTGGATTGACTGGAACAATGAGGAAAGATAACCAGACTTTCATACACTGACTGAGATAAGAACCTAGGACCACCATTTGTTCCATGTAACTATGTAAAGATTGCAACACTCTAACACTGTACTACAGCCTGTGTAAATTAACAAAACCTATTGACATTCAGATAGAGTTCAATTCTTTTCCTTCTAATTCAATCCCAAAAGATTGCTTTCAATATTTCAGAAGCTGTTTATTGTATTGGTATTTCTATAAATGTATTAGAGAACCTCCCGAGGTATTGTTTAGGACATGTTTTCATTATGGCATGTGACAGGGAATATGTTAAGGGGATGTTATTTGTTTCTTAATGCCATTTATCCGTTTGATGTCTTTTTTATCAATAAAACTAATCAATAGTACTCAAAGAAAACACATTTGAGGAAAGTGGACATTTTTTTTTATCCAGATGAAAAGCAATACATCATAATGCTTGAGTCTTGTTCATCAATCATGTCTGGATTATTTAGGTTGTTCTTTCATAAAGGACCGGTTTTGAAAGTCGATTCTAAAAATCACTGGCCAAGGCATCAGAATCTTTCTCAACTTCAGAGGGATTCAATCCCAAGGCACCTTAATAAAAAGGAAGTTATGTACAAGCAGTCACACAATAGAGCAATCCATCTGTGGACAGACAGAATTCTGATAAACATCATTTACTTTTTGGGTTAAAGTCAGACATGATTGGAAAATACAGGGACAATCACGTCAATAGCCCTGATTCGCCAGATCAGAAAATGCTCATCAAAAGGAAAGAATGAGTTATTGATTACAAAATTTGATATCATATCAAATCAATACACTAACAGAAATTCTACCTTTTTTATGAATTGATTCCATTAAGAACTTAATTTCCTGTCACATTATTTCCCTATTTTGACCCCAACTGACCTTACGCTGACCTTCAAGATCAACTCTATTTCCGGGTCTCTTTTATGCCTTTAATGTGTCTAGGAAATAGAAAATATTTGTTAGGTTTCCTGATGGCGTGATTGATAATATATTAAGTGTTGCTATGATAAGTTTATGAATCATTTCTCAGGTATGATAACATAGGGTTTTACTAGTAGTTCACACCTAAAGCTTTCAGTCATATATAGTAGGATTTCTGTGGATTCGGATATTTACCTACCAAAGACGTAATGAAAATGTCTGTTTCATACAGTGGAAGTGCCCAGCATGCCGAGTCTGAGGGTCATATGGGAGGCAGGCTTGACTTGGTGAAAATGTGGAGGTTGCAATTCAAAATGCGACAATTCCAAGGAAGTGCATAGGTGCATGGAGTATCTGAGAAGGCTGTGACAAGTGGGGGTACAATTGGGAGTAAAATCCAATTTTCTAGGAGAACAATTTACAACCCCCCTTGCCACCATGGGCCACTGGCCAACTTTGATAATTACATTTATAAACTGACTTCTGCTTTCTTCAAAAATTTCAATTTAGATGAATCAGGAATTAGTTCTATTCATTTAATTGATAACTATCAGATGTTTTTATTTCCAAAACATGTTTGTTAACAGCGATAGAACAGAAAAAAGACAAAAGTTTCAGTAACAAACGTAGCCTGATATAGCACCAAATCAAACCAATCAAATATAAAATAAAAACATGCACATGCATACATTAAACAAGTAAATATCAGTATGATAGAGTGGACAACTTGATCAATACACAGTGTGATTAAAAGGCGTTATAATTACCAGTCCTGCACATGCATTAATTCACACACTGATCTGCATCAATTTAATATTGACGCTCATATTTGATTAATTTCTCAGCTAGCTTTGTATTGTCATAGTTGCAAATACAGGAATATAATCAGATTCCATTTGATATTTTGATTGAATAACCTAGAGAATCGCTGCTTTGTTGAAGAAATATTTTTCCTTTCATGGTTTTCATTTGTTTCTGTGAAAATCTATTTTGATCCCCTTTGATTGGCGGCTTTTTTTTTTTGAAAAAGCAGCCAGCAAAAGTTAGCTTTGAGTATAAGCAAGGAGTTATCTTGTCTCTTAACATTTAAAGCTGTCTTAGAACAAAGTAGGTTTATTCTTTTCAAAACACCTCGTAGTACTTCGTATGTGAGGAGTTCACTACTATGCAATTATTTCTACGATTTTTGTAGTGCTTTGGATGAGATTTTTGGTGAATGTCAAAATTCTGATACAGTGATTAGGTAGTTCAAAAACTAACCAAAAAAATAATTGTGAATCATTAAAAAGCTATTTCTCATCAGACAGTCAATAATTATCTTAAAATCAATCAGATGATAAATCTGGTAAAGGATTTCTCAACAACCAGAAAATATTACAGACTCCTTATTGTCCAGAAATGATTCACAGTTTTTTTTGTATGTTTCTCTTTAGAACTAGTCACCATGTCTATGAAATCAAATCCACTAGAGCCTATCTTATTAAATTAAGAATTATGAAAATACACTTTTCTGGTAAAAGAAGTTGTGGTGAGTAATATTGTGAATTAAGATGGATATCAATGGCCAGTTTTCCATACTTTTTTCACAGAACAAAACATGTTTCTTTTGGATCAAATTCAATCAAATGAAAACTGTAGTCTCACGAATAATTTTTTTTAAGTCAAGGGCAATAACTAACATAACGTTCACCATCTAATTCAAACTTGTCCAAGATCTCATCAATACAATTGTGCAAACCAAGTTTCAATAAAGAAATGTTATCAGGCAGACCGACAGACGGTCAGGGAGGATAACATAGGAGACATATAAAAATTCTTATTTCAAGGAATATAAAGTCAAGATTATTTTGGAAATGATATTCTGGTTAATTCTGGCAATTCAAGTTTTCATTTATTTGTCTGAAAGCTATGAAATTTTATAAAATAGTCTATTTTACGAAGCCACAGTCAATAAATAGAAATAGGTGACTAACGTCTATAATAATAGCAGACAATATGGAATGTGTGAACTATTTGTGGTTAGAAAGACAGTAATTAAGTTTGATATCTCTATTTAGCAGAAATCAATAGATGACCTTGATCTTATGACCCTGAATTCCCTCTAGTCTGCTAAATTTTGAGTGACCAGTCAATATGGATGAACAATAACTTGTCTAATATTAATGTGGTACATAAAGTAACCTCAACAAGTTAATTAGAACTCTCACAACGAAGAAGATAAAAGCATCGATCACAAAATTACTTAAATAAAGTTTTACTTCACGGAAAAGCAGAAGAATAAGCTCAGAAAAAGAAATAGATTATTCTACTGTAACACATTGAAACTATGGTTAAGGACATTATCAAAACACTTCATGGTTGACAGAGGAAACGGGACAGAAAATCTGAGGGTACTTTCTATGCTGGGACTGAAAATTGCAGATCATAAAGATGTTCAAACGATCGTCAAATCTGCATCCTTTGTTTCGCACATAAGGCATTATTTAGTAATTTGAGTAATAAGGACTATTGGGATAGCTCTAAATTATCATCCTACAATAAATAATTAATAATGTTGTCTTTAATTGCCACTTAAGACTAGAAAGTGTGTGTAAAGGAATTATCTTGTGTGTCTTGAGAATACAGATAATGTCTTATCATATTATAGTGGAAGTTTTACTGAATATTTTACTTTTTAATTCCCACAAAGAATATCACATCAAATTTTGCTTAATCAAAAAATATTTCATCCTAATTGAAATTAGGAATGTATATTATTAGTGCACTTAATTTATGCGCAATATTTATATATTTAGCACAGATGTATGCAAATAAAAATAACATAACCTAAATGAATTTTCAATTTGACATTTGATGAAATGTTAAGTTTTGCTCCATTGAAGATTCTAATGTACAAATTTCTTAGATTTTAGTTCAATAATTACTCATACAGCTCCATTATAATAACTCTGTATTTCTAACAAAGACATTCCAAGACAAGTGTCAAGGCTGGGTTGACAGCATCTATTGATTTTTCTTGATGCTACTAAATGCAGGAAATTTCTGCTGGCATCAATACACAAAGGAACTGTGTCATACTATTTTCTATAACTTAACAGGATAAAGAATCTTTCTAGTTGCTTTACACTAAACATTCCATTGGCAGATTTCAAAGAGCAATGTAAAAATTTATGTATTTATATCTTTTAACACTTTTATTCATATTATGTAACTTTCTTGTAAAAAATATTTTATTTTAAAAAGTTGAGCTGGTTACTTTCAGGAAGTCAGTTGATAAAAATATATAATCAAACTATACACAAACTCAGAACCAAAACTCATGCAATTTAACACAAAACAAAAAAAGCTGGAACTATGGGTAAAAAATAAAGCATGGAATCAAACTTAAAACTCTTTTCACACATAATTCTTTATCAGAATTAAATAAATAGATCAGCAAAAAGAATCTGCAACAAAAGTTGTGGAAAATTCAAAAAACAAAAAATAAACTGAACCAAAACTGAAACAGAACAAAAATTGTAAAATCATGGTGCAGGTAAAATTAAACAGAAGTGAAGGATGAAGGGGGAATAACTCTTGTTTACCTTCACTGTCACTATCATCTCCTAATTCATCATCTGTATCATAATTTAAACTAATGTATGCTTTACGTAGAGGTAAAGTTTCTTCTGCACAGATTTAAAAAATTAAAATAAAATATATTAACAAACTTAATCCAGAATATCCCTCGAACAAAAAAGGCACTTTCGAAAGAAATATTGCAGAAATATTTGAGACAAGCAAGCAGATATGACATACATGCATAAATATCTTATATCTTGTGTGTGACATAACCTGAACAGATTGTGCAAATTCATTAGTGCATTTCTTTTACGAACTCAAGAAATTTTGGACTTTGTAAACTTTGCAAAATAAAAACAACTCAGAAACACCCAGATGGGAATGAACAGATATATCATATCATAATATGGTAGTAATAAAGAATGATACATGGGTCAAAAAAAAGATTATTTGATTGACAATTTTCATGTGTTAAAAAAATTGGTTTCTGTTAAACTGATACCGTCCAAAAATAAATATCATAAAGATCATATCATGTAGAGTTCAGCTGTTAGTTAAATGTCAAAGTTCACATTATATTAGTATGAAATATACCAGTCTTTTCCTGTTTAATAAACATTCTTTCAATAGATATCGTACATTTCTTTTATTACTGTACTTCTTACAACTTTTAGAGAATTAAGATGAACGATAGCAGAACACTGGCAAAAATTTGTATTCAACAGTAACTAAGATCAATGAAGATGGTATTTTAAATCAAAAGGCTAATTCTATCAATTCCTACAGACATATTTTCAGGTAAAAATATATTTTACTGAGGTATGAGGCTTTGCTTAAAATCAGTTCTGAAAGAAAACATCTGTGAAATTATTGTAGTCAAATGTCTTTCCTACTAGCTGTACAGACAGGTCTTGTTCGGTGAAATATTTGTAGTCTAAAGTCATATATCTTAGACATTTGTTACTTGTGGTCTGAAGCTTATATTTGGAGATATCTAAAGAGTCAGTAGTATATACAGTATAATAATATAAGTATTTTCTAGAAATTCTATCTCCAAGCCTAAAGAATATATAAATATTATGACATTCTGTTCTATATTTTCTATAAATATAATATTATTTAATCTTTCTAGCACTTTATATTTGATAAACAATTCACACCTTTCTTATATTTATATAAAGATAGAATTTCATATAACAGAAAGAATTTTGTTTTCAATCAGCAAAAATGCACTTATATATTGATGTATGTCTTTTTTTGGTCACAGAGTTTTGATCATTAAGTGCAATTGACATAACGAACATTGTCCAATATACCTTGACTGCAATATCCACTATTCTTGTATCATGGAATGCAGCAATTTGATTGGATTGCATGTAAGCGAATACAGCCAATAAGAGTCCTTGACAGAAAGACTGTAAAAGTTTTGGCTTAACGTTCACAGACTTTATGTCGAGAGCTCTGATTGACTGTATTCGTTAGTGTCTATTGCAGTCAAGGTATAAGACAAAGTGTGTAATAGCTTGACACTAAGAAGATGAACACAATTTAAAGTTTCTTTTTAGTCACCATTCATATAATCAACAATATCCAAGCATTCCATTAAAATAATCAAGTTTCTTACCTTTCCGAGACCACAAACTTCCCTGCATATCATGAACTAACCGACAATATCCATCTATAAGATCGGCCATGTCTTCAGCTATATCCAAGGTGACACAAGTTATCATTAATGGTTCATTAGCACCTGCTATTTTTAATTGTAATATTCCCTTGCCATCTTCACTTCCTACTGTTTGTATAGATTGAACCTGAGCGAAATCTGCCATATGTGTCGGCTGAAAGTAAATAAGGGTAAATTGAGGTATAATTGATATTTCAATACCTGTTTTTGTTCAGTGACTAAAATGCAACCTTTCATAGCACCTTGAATTGATATATCATCAGTTTTTGATGATTAACCTGAAGTCCGATTGTCATTCTAGAAAGTGATACAGATAGTTCAGATAAGTTTTTTCAGTGTGCATGCTTTTGCTAAACATTTCCAAAATAACTTACAGAAGAAGCTTTTTCTGTGAGGTAACTAATTCCACACTCTGGACCAACTACTATTTCTACATAAATACTCCAGCCCGACTGAAATAATAAATAATAAATCTTATACTGACATTTATTATGCTTTAGGCAAATCACTTTCACTTTTTATCAAAATCTTAATTAACTACAAATCTAATTTTAAAAACCACTTTACAGACATTTAATTTCACAAAATTTATTTCGGTACGATTGGCCATTTCCTACATAATGGAACATCTTATTCTACTTTGCAACTGGATTTGTCATCTATGCATTCTTAAGTAGAGTCCACATAGTAGAGTATAAATGGGTTTAATCATGGCTAATCATACGTACTATTGGATTGCAAAAGGGCTGATTTCGACTTATAAATGTTGAGAACTTACCCCTAAAGCACATTTGAATCTTTCTTGATTAAATTTACTAACAATAAATAACGTTTCAAAAAATTTATAAACACATTCAGATTCTGTTAATTGAGCGTATTGTCGAAAATGGTGCTGGATTAATTTTCTTAACTGTTTAGACTGAAATACAAAGAAGAAAAAAATAAGCATTAAGAGGATGGTCACGCATGAAATCTTATTCAAATCGATCTGAAATGTTTCAAACTTCAGGAATGATGTCTTGGAAATGGTTATTAAATTTCCAATATTTTGACTTTCTAAATATAACTTAGTAAACACAAGCAACAAGCTTAAAGTACAATCATAACCAACATAACCATGTTCAATGTAAAAGGAAATCTTGCTTTTTGGGTCCTGATAACGCTCATGAACGCAGGAATGTCATGCAGTGCTCAATAATGGAAATTTTGTCAGGATAGCAGCATTAGTTAACTCTTTTTCTATCCAATAGTCCAATAGTCTAAGATAATCTAGTCTAGATCATTCGGCATTCAACTTATCATCCTACCCAAACTATGAGACACATTTTTCCATGACTGCTTTGAAACTGTGGAGATTTATTTCAGACCACATTTCTTACCTTCATTGTATCAATGACTGTTTTAGGGAGAAATCTTTTTAACCCAACTTCTTTTTCTAAATAATCAAAGTTGGATTTTTTATCTAAAGCCACTTGAGGCATGTCTTTAAAAAATCGTCTGAAAAGAAAGCAATTACATTTAGACAAGAATTCTCAAATCAGAACGCACATGAAATTCATTGAATATATACAGGACTTTACCATATATTTTGGGAAAAATTGGAACAGATGTAGAGTATTCCAAAATAAAACTTCTTCTGAATCGAATACCTTTTTTTCTGCACCATTTTATGTGATTTGAAACTTCCAAGAAAAATATGTAATTCAATCAGAAATTGAAGTTGAATTCAAAATGGTGAAGAAAGAAGTAGAAGGGTAAATCCAGTTCTGCACAGTTGGATTGAAGACAGGATTGGAACCTTTCTTATGGATTGACCTTTGAACCTTATACATACTTACCTCATTTCTATACAAGCTAATCGGACAGCTACATCATGATCTATATGTTCAGCTATATCTTTCATATAGTCATTTCTTATCTAGAAAATATAATTCATTGAATAATGGAGGAAAACACTCATGTCTACAGAATTGATATCATCAGCTGTTTGGACTGGTGTGTGGAGTTCTTTGATTCAGTAAGTCATTTTAATATATCAATCTTCAAATAATAATTAAGATAGTCTCTTTACAACCTAATTCAATTTTTCATCCAATCAGCATTGGCTAAATTTTTCTATTACTGGGTAAGTGAAAATTAATGTCATTTTGATGGTTTCTGCTATTACTTAAATTCAACAATAATGAAATCTTTCATAGTAAATTGTATTCCAAAGACAGACATATTAATGCAGAGATTTGATTTATTACTCTAATTATATGAATCATATTCAACAGTGAAATCTGTAAGAATTAATACATAAAACAGCAACTTTAAAAAATAATAACCAACCTGATCATATAAATAATAGAATGTAACTTTATCTTTGGCGTATAAATCTTGGAAATTTTTTGGAAGATAGCGAACACGTAACTCTGTCCTGTAATGACAAGGATGGGATCATAACATCTTCTAAAATAAGACTCAACTCAACTAAAAATGCATTGAGTGATGTAGAATGCATACATGCGTCAGGATTGAAATCTGGGCCTTCAGATTAGCGAGCAAGCATCGATCTCACTGACCCACAACAGGTCCTATAAGCCTTGTTTGAAATTAGCGTAATATATATTAGGTGTTCTTTAGTCAGATATGCTACTCATCTCAAATAACAGAAATGCAAACCTTGAATCATTTTAAAACTTAGACTTAGAAGCATATATCGCAAACACAAGACAATTATAGGATTGAAACAAACTTCTTGGACTTATGTTTGATAATATTTGGCTCAAGATATCTAAATTCTGGCTTACCGCCATTCTTCAGGTGGGTGTTTTGCTTCGTATTTTTGACGAACTTGATACATAGTAAGATCATTATGTAACCAATAGCTCTCTCCCCGAGACTGAGTATGTACAAGTTTTAAGGCGTAACATTTGGAATAAAATCTAACACCAGCAGCTAACCTGCCCACAACCAGTTTTATTATATCCTGAAATTATATGAAGATTTTTAACATATTTATTCCAAAAGGGCTGTGATATCTCCCTGTTTCTATCAGCTCTGAAGTTACAGACAGGCAAAATGAATTGAATGAGTTTAAGGTCTTACTTTTTTGCATTGGATTGGGCTTATGAAGACAGGCAATGCCTTGAAGTGTGCAATGATGCAAACTTATCAGGACATTAGCATTAGCCTAATCTTGTTTCGATTTCTTACTGTCAACTCAACGAACCTTTCAAGTTCACATCCTGTAGGACACGAAACCTCTGTTTACAGTCCATCCCAACAACTAGACCCTTTGCCATGTCAGATTTACAAAGGTTTTTGGACTTGACCATAAGAGCGTAATAATGCTCATATATGATAGATTTCATTATATATCATCCTTTATATGCCCTGCATATGAGTCTGTTATCATCTAAGAAGCTCCTCTATATAAGAGATCAGTAATACTGTTATCATACTATCACACATTGTGACTGAAGACTTATACCAGATCAGCATGTAATGATACTGTCAGCAGTAAATATTGATCACTTGACCTCTAGATCACCTACTATCACTTTCTGACTGGTATTTACCACTTTCTAATCAAGAATGTAATATATTGATCTATATGACCCTGAGAATATGTTCTGATTTAAAAACAATTCATATACAGACAGGAAAGTTTGATCTATATCAGAGCTATCTATTACTTTGTATTTGTCAGTGGAGTCAGAGAGAATTAAAACTGTCCAAATGAGCTATAAGCATTATGTGAGCATTTGTGTTTTAAGTAATTGCTTATTACAAAAGTGAACATTTGTATTGTATGCAATAATTCAAGAAATCTTTATGTTAAAAAAAGAGGGAAGAAATGTTATTTAACATTCTAAGAAAGTTTAGAAAAATTCAATGTGATTAAATTGTAATATTTGTGACTTTTTTTTAAGTCTACTTCACTCAAATGAACAAATATAAACAAACTTAGAACTAATAATGTTGTATTCATGAATCTAGAATTAATGATGACAATCCTTGAAAAAAGTGACAGAAGTTTAAATAGTACACCTTTTTCCATCATGCAAATCCTTTCTGGCTGAAAAATATTGATGTTGATGACCCTTTTATTCACCTTCTATCACTTTCTGACTTCCATTTATCACTCTCTGATATGGCTTGTCACATATTGATCATAACAATCAAGATGAAGATGCAGGTTTAAAGCTTCTTGTACAAGATATAAATCATAAAGGATCTCAGATCTGATACTTAGATAACAGTGTAAATCACATTGGAAAAAAGAAGTCTGTGGAGAGGTTTAAGCCACCCTGACAATTGCAAGTTTTCATTCTGTGCTATGACACTATATCAAAATATCAAAATTTTCTAAAATTTGGTACATACATATTTTTGTACATCTTGCCACAAGTATTGCAAAAAAACAACTTCGTAGTTGCAATTTAAATTTTTTTAAAAATTCCAGGACATGTTGGTATTAATTATCCTCATGAATTTAAGTTGTGATCCTTTCAAAAAAAATGGTTGTTTACTTCTTCAGTGACTTAAAATTTTGTTTTAAAAAACCTACATTTAGTCGAGGATTTACAGGAATTCCAGAGCAAATAGAAATATATTGATGACGATGACCTTTCATCACTATCTGATAGAACAATAACTACTTGTTAATTACAATATGATTTATTGTATCAATCTCAATGTGAGGAAGCCATCAGACTTTATAATTGCTGTCTCTATATTATTAATCATTACTGAATACATTTCTATATTAATTACTTATATCCAATAGCATTACACATTAGGATGCTACAAATTGTTCCATTCTCAGTCCAGACCAGGATATGATAAAATTACATATTCATCGTTTACACCATTAAAATCATGATTGTTTTGAGAACAGTTTTATAATAAAAGTGTAAAGTGTCTATTATTCTCTGAGCCATTTAAATGAAACTCTTCACAAAAGAGGTGATAAAAATGTCCATAACCTAGGTGGAAGCCAAAACATTTCCAAGGTCCTGGTGCCAAGATGCATATGCGACGTTCACTGAGTGGATACTGTTTACACTACCAACTTCATCTGTTCTATTCTTAGGCTTCCTTGTCATGGTAGTCTTGAAATGGAATTGTTCTCAGAACCCCTGACAGTTTACACTATTAATTTTTTTCCCATTTCGTTCGAATTTTTGTAATGTAAATGGCACTAATGAATGAAGGAATTGGAGTGTTATTTATGTAACTCATGAAGGCAATGCTGTGCAATATGCTATGAGGAAATTTTGTTACAGGAGCCATGCCTAGTCTTCCTGCTGTTCCAGATTCTTATTTTGGTCACCTCTCAATGACATTTCTGGAATTATATTCAGATAATTTTAGATTCCAATTTCAACCAGGTCGCATTTCATGATCGAAGATCAAATTAATACCATCAATCAATAGAAATAGAATTGGTCTAGACTATTTGCATAATCATAAAATTTCTATGCAAATAATATTTAAATTAGGTACATTTCTGATTTTGTGGTATCATTAAATTCAGAGTTATCTCAGAAACCTTTACATCAGATCAATAAGTTGATAACTGATAAGCTTTCTGTTGCCATATATATAAGCTAAATGAGCTCTTAAACTTTTGGTATTGGATTTTATGCAATTTGACTGGATACTGTATACTATATTGCAGATTTGGTTGAGTTTTATATCAGATATGGGGTTGGCCTTAAATACATTTTGCATGAAAATGAACTGGTTTTTGTGAAATTTCCATGAAGAACATGCCATAAATAGTCAAGGTATTTAGAGCCAACATAATGAAAGGTGTTTATATATGTGCTTAGCTTTCAGAATAAGAGTAGCTTTGAAGATAAGGTTTTTCTAACAGTTACCAAAAGCCACATTATAATGGAAAGAATGTGAACAGTAATTTTTATGTTAGCACTGTTTTTATGGAAGAGCATCTCAAATTCAATTAAATCTCTTCATCAACTTTGATCATAAAAAAGAAGATTCTGATAGTAAAAAACCAAGATAGTATTAAATCCATTCATGAGTTTGAATGTGTCCTATTGATAATAAGGAATAATGACAAGGGGTCATTATTCTCTATAGTTTAATAATTGATCTCATCTGGATTTTTTTCTTTAGTATGGCTTTGCTGTCTTTTCCAATTATTTTTGTTTGTAACAGATTGTTGTCGTCTTTTTTTTTATTGCTTTTCTCTATGCATTCTCCATTCATATTATGATGTACTTTTGTCAGTGTACAACTATGATCTACTTGCAAATAATAAAAGGGTCATTATTTTTCAATTACAAAAATTACTTGTCTTGCACATTTTCAATTTAGAAAAGTTAACCCCATTTCAAATTATAACTGTCTTCTTGAGGATAGTTTATCTGAAAAATCAGCATGAGACTGATTCTGTGAATGACAGCATGAAACTTGCTTTATTGACAGGGGTAAATCGGGTGGAAAAATCTGAAGGTACCTGAACCTATGCTGGGATTGAACCCTGGAATTTTAGGTTAGCTAGCAGCTCCTTGTAACATGTCGAAGGGTTTGAGGTTGATAATAAAACAAGAACCTCAGTTTCAAGTTATATCTCATTTTTATCTGTCAAGGTATATATTGATATATTACATCTTGCCTAGTTTTATAATTAAGATTAACGACACCCTGATTGTCATGTCTGTCACAATTCTAACTTATTGAATTTATCAACAACAACTAATGGCAATAATATTTAAATGAGTTAAGAAAAGCTTGGCAAATAAATCACAGACCAGGCAACTTGGGATTTAACAGAAGATTCAACTTCTGAGTATTCAATCAATCAGAAATTAGAGAGATGGTAATAATAATTTGACTCTGTTTGATTTTGGATATGTTAAGTTCTTGAATTACCATATTCCATAAGGGATAAAAGTCAGTCAATTTTACTTTTATGTGTGAACCTGAATTTGAGGACTGTCTATAGTAGGCCTACAGTTGGTTTGAGTGTTAGAATTTAGAGTCATTTGCTTTGTTACGTCAGAAATAAATTCTAAAAGACATTGTTCCTTATTATTTTAGTTACCCAGCTGTAAATAGGTACAGATCAATGGCAAGAAGTTTGGTTATGGACTAGACCTTGTGAAATAAAGTTGTTATCATGGTAGAAATTAGTTGTTTCTTTCTTTTTAACTTATCTTACTGCCTGTTGTAGATTTCAGCATAAAATTCACAAAAAAAAACCTTTTACTGAACGACAATCTATTAATATGCCATAGTCTCAAGAAATTTATGAAATTTCTCTGTACTTTCAATTTTCTTAAATTTTATCAAAAAAGATTCTGAATATTCAAAGCTTTCTCCTGTATATTTGTGACGGCTGAATTATTTATTCTTTAATGTTATAAATAAGTGTAATGTGTTCTAGTTTTTATAAATATCACTACTTGTAGTTTATATAGAAATGTCAAAATACTTAATAACTTCCGTTTCAATAGCAATATTAAATGTAACTGACCGTATTTCTCAAAATATTGCATTTCGGAGCTTGGAAATTTCATTCATATATCACTACATAACAATAAGATTTAAATAAGTTATCATCTTCAAAATAAGGCTTGTAAACAATTGTTCACTGCAGCAAGTTTATTATAAATTTCTATCAAGCTGAAACATTGTCATGACCTATGTCACTCTGCTGCAGAAATGGGAACCAAGGCAAAGGAAGCTCAGTCCTGTCTGATCTTATACTTCTAGTATTATTGGTGTGTTCATATGAGTAAAATTCAGTAGCCAAACTAAGCCAGCTTAACTATACAAGCCAGGTTTTAAGCCACCTCTGAAGTAGTTGTAAGTTAAGGTAGCTGAAGTTTAGCTGGTCACGTTCAGACGACTAAAAAATCGTTGATAGTGAAGCTACCTTAAATTTTGTCTGAAGAGGCTGGTCCACCTTTGTTTGCTCATTGACCATAACTTCTGAAAAATGGTTTTGGTAAATTCTAACCTAGTTTTCTCATATACATTTGTTATAAATATGAGACATACTAGAACACTCCTTCCTGTACACAGAAAGACAATAATCTTGTTTACTAATGTCTTCATGCCTACCATCAGTATTTTGGCAACATACACCTGTATCCTGAATGTAGGATGAGGTATTGGTATGTAATGAGGTATTAGTCAGACAAAGTGATTGGAAACAGACCACTACTAGTCAATAAATCAGACACAGTATCTGGAAGCAGACGGACTAGAAGGTGATTAACAGGTGAATGTCTGTTATCAGTTAGAATATTGTTGATTAGTACTAGAAGATATTTAAACCAGATTATTAGCTACCTCCATTCTTTAGATGTTGGTTCTGTCAGTTAGTATATAGTTACTCATGTTTATTAGTATCACAAACAGTCTGGTGATTATTTGGTGTTTTATGGTCATATCAAAAGAATTCATCATTCTTAAGATGTAGATGAGCCACACTTACTCACAGTGAGTCAATTAACAAAATAATGCATATGACAATGTTTAAGCATACTTGCTCACACACAAGTTACTGTTTAGTGTACATTGTTTATTTTTTGTCCTTAGCTTAATATTTTACATTTGCTTCTATTTTGTTTTGGTTGAAGCATTTTTCTACTAATTTTTCAAACTTTGAAAATGAAAATGAATGTATTCTCAAAAGCCGTAAAATCTTTCATTTACATTCAACTTATTTCCATCTTTAATGAAATGAAGAAGTATTTACCTTAATATCTGTAGCATCACCATATTTGACCATATTAAATCCTCCATTAGGTAAATGCACTTTTAATATTGAGCGATCCATGAGGAATTTCTTTACCCTAGGGTCAAGTTCAGAACTAGGGTCAAGGTCAGGATCTAAGATTATCTCTGTACACGTCTCACTCTCTCCTTCATGTATAAACCTCCATAATCTACTCCATCTTGCTATCTAAAATAGAGAGAAAATAAGAATGAATAAATGGATAGATATATTAGAATGAATGTCTGAGACTGAATGAATGAATGAATGAATGAATGAATGAATGAATGATACATCACAAATCAGTCTAAAACTGAATAAAATGGTATAGGCCTACTCAAAAGAAATTTTCAAACCAGAAATAACAGGCTTTTTCTAAATATTTTTTGCCTTGTATACAGATTCCCCAATATATCATTACGAATTGTGGGTTGATATATAATTGAAACCACACGAGTCTAGAGTCATCCATCCATTATAGCTGATATTATTAGAGCTTATTATAGACAGTATAGTAATATTATTATAGACACACAGAGGGACATCATTCATATATGTCACTACAATTGCTTCTTATGTATATTTCAATATATTTTATAGCTAAAGTCTAGCTGAGTCTTTTCATATTCTGATCTAATCCCTCTCCTTAAATGAAAAATGTCTACCGGTACACTAATGTCAAGGTAAATTGAAGAACATGCTTATTTCTCTCTTTTAATGAAGTTTAAAAAAAAACAACAGAATCAGCCATTCATTTTTCAAGTATAACTCTATTTTGTATGTTGGCCTATGCATGTATATGTCTCTTTTGGAAAATAAATTCTTCATAGGGTGAGTTTTCTTTTGTAATGATTATTTCTATGGAATAGACCTAGATCAGATACTCTGAGAGTAATTATACAATGCCTAGTCAAAACAAACACAATAGCAGCATCTTCGATACAATAAGCTTGAAGACAAGATGTTTGATTTTCAATCTTATCAGATCAAGTTAGCCTCATCAAGGTGTTCTCTATCAAGAATTCTAATTCAGAAAACAGACAACAACAAAGATGTCTGCTCCAATCTGATTTCTTCAGTATAAAACAGACCAGAAATAACAATAAACAATATACAGAATAGAACAATGCTATCAAATTTCTCAGTGGAATCACATTGCAGACAATTCTTTTAACAGTTATTCCTGCAAGAAAAAACATGGCTAGGACAATCAGATTCTATTACCATGACAACCAGATTAATTCACCTTTTCAGATTCTCCAGAGATTTTATTTTACAACCCACGTGAAGATTTAATGTAATGTTGAAATCAAAAGGAGACATCTTGCATCCCTATTAAGTTAGCTAGTTGCAGACATTGTCACGATAAGTAATTGATAACTCTTAATTAGAACTGCATTTTTGATGTGTAAAATGTCACAGTTCCTTGGTTGCTAGGCTGAAATGTGGGCCTGAACAATCCTTGTTTAGTGAATGCTAATAAAATCCTAATAAATCAAATTCATTGAAATTTATCTGAAAAGGTAATGTTTGTTGTTCCGACAGCAATCAACATATTTTGTATAAGACATTGACCACCATTAAGATATTAGGCTAAGTCAAAAGTCAGCATTACTATAAAAGTTAAAGAAATGATTTTCAAAATATTTCCAAATTGACTTTGGAAGCTGACCTGATACATGTGTACATAAATGCAAGATCAAGTTAAACACAAGATTTTTCTATTTCCCTGATAAATTGTCATCCTTCCTTCCTTCACCTTTATAAAGATATTCCAGATTGAATTTGATAGCAACAGTTGATCATCTGTTCTTACATATTGAACACTTCATTTACTTACATAGATGCATTACATTGATGTTTTGTAATGTAAAAAAAGTCACAAAATATCCAAAATTGTCATAATTTAATCCAAAAATCTAACTGACCTAGTTGTAAAGTAAATTTGCTGTAGGTATCCCAATCTATTAAAGTTACACCTAGATTACAAGTTCGACTGTATAAGTTATATTGTAATGTGAGGAGGGATGTTTTAGACCTATACCAAAATATTCATTTCTCAGCCACACACAAGATTCCTGCTGATTGCACATCTGGTGAGCAGACACACAAAAATATACAGGTACACAAGATATTTCGTGAATTTCATGCTTTCCTTAATCCAATTAGTGTAGTATATGAAAATCACTTTCTTAGTATACCAGGTTTATCAGCCAATCATAGTTATTTCTTCCAAATTCAAAATACCATAAATCACACTTAGTCAACCGATGACATTTACAGGAATCAGGAAGAACATTGTTCTCTACAGTGTAAGATTCTGGTTAGATCATTTTTGGTGTAGTAAAGATGGAATTTCAACTATTTTCTTGTATTTAGTGCAACACAAATTATTTGTTTGTCTTCATCACAAAAATAAAGAAGCTAGACCTGAAAACAACTGGATTTCAACTGAATAATCCACTTTTCCAAAAGTACAGGTATGATGTGACCAGTGAAAGCTTCATGATCTTGAGTAAATAATACCACCTAATGCAGTCCTTGAATCTGTTAGTAAATATTTTGTCCCCAGCCATATGAATTACTTTACATTGGCCTCAAATAAAATAATCTGTATCTCAAGTACCTTTCCACATGGTGCAATTCTTCTTACAACCAGATGGGAAAACATCTCTTCAATCACTATTATCCAGTAGCAACAACTCATCACATGTAAACATTTCATTACAATTCCAGTTAAATCTTGAATAACCAGACACACACTTATGAAGTGAAATTGTCACCAAATTAGGAAGTCATTTAGAGCATAAACTGATGATGAAATACACAAAGTTTGTGCCTGATATTTTCAACAGTAATTGTATGTTTTTAAGCATGCACTTCAGTCTAATTATTATGAGGATGTAATTTTTTGTCCAAAATGTCTTCCACATGCTTCACAATTAATCTAGATGTGTCAGCCCTGCTACCAGACGCTTGCATGTAATCAAGACAACTTTACAGAAGTATATATGATGTTATGTGCACCTGCCCAATAATTCAATAAAGCTTGAATTCCACCATTGATACAAGATAATAATTTATTGTAATCAACTACAGATGAAGATTCAATAACTATCTTGAAATTAAATGGTTACTTCATTAAGTCAAGGGTGTCTTTAAGAACTTGTTATCAATTTTAACAAGTTGTAACAGAAAGTCAAATTAGAGATTCCAAGCAACAGTAATATTTCAATAATAGTTGCTATGACAGGGTGTTTGCTGGTGATGCAAAGAATGTTCAACCTCCCAAGACACATGATGTTACTCTGTGACTGGGTGTATCAACTCCTCACAATAATTTTGCTATTTCAGTTATGAAATTCCAAATGGAAACGTTAATTAAGATTTATTTTGTGGTTTGTGGGGATGCAAATTTCACATCCCATGTGGCAAAGGGACGAACTCTTCTAATACATCACCAAAATTGTACAGATGCAGGTCTTGAAATGAACTTTATAAGCATCTCATCAGAGCTAAAATGGTGCTTAATTTTCAATTGCTCCAGACCACACATCCAAGGTAGTTGATAATAGAAAATCTGGGACCAGTATATATGTAAAGTTTTTACAAAGAAGATTGATTTGGTAATTTCCAGTTCTCCGTGAGAAATCAACCATAATAACTGAGATAATTTGATTGAAATATATTGGATGTAAACAAAAAGTGAATTGTTTAATGAATGAAAATAAAGGAAATAGTTGAAGTGGTTTATTAGTATAATAATATTGATGAAGCAAAGTACAAACATTACCAGTAACACCCAAAATATTTCTCTTATTAGTTGTTTATCTCCAATTTCACCAGATTCATCATTTCCTTTTCAGGGAATCTTGTACACAGAAGTCAAAGTAAAATTTTTGGTCAAATTCCATTCAAAAATTCAAATGAAACATCTGACACATTGAAAACAGATACAAATGGATTCTATTTCAATGGCAATTAAACAAATGTCCTTTCATAAAAAAATGATTTTAGGAATCTGCTTTTCCAGATCTGCATTCGATAAAGGGGTATATGGACTGGAAATTCAAAAGGTATCATCTCAACTTATGTCAAGATTAAAACCCTTCACTTCATTTCAGTAAAAATGTAAAATTTCTAAAAGCTTTTACAGAGCTCATCTGTATTTTACTCAATCTTAGCAAGGCTTGATGAATATCAATTGAGAATGATCAACAGAATGTTCCTACTTCTATCAACAGTAGTGTGAACTATGCTTAAGAATGTTGAATAAAAAACAGTTTAAAATCTGGCTGAGTCAGACACCAGTCCATCTGTTTTTCACCATGCTAAAAGAAGATAAAGTCTAGAGTTAGTGTAAAAACTAAGATAAAATACACCACTTGATGGAATTGGTGGAAACTGTTGATAAACAATGTGATATCTTACAAAATAACTCATTATAGTTATACAAACCTTGACCTCAGACACAGTTTTTATACCAAAAGATAGTGTGATTGAATCAGACACAGAAATTCTTGTAGAGCTAGTCTATAAAAATCCGCAAGACAATTTAGTTAATAAAAATCTCGTCAAATATATCATAGTCCAAAGTCTATGTATTTAATTGGACATTACTTGCATTCAATCTAACACAAGTCAAATGCATATTGGAATTGTAGATTGGAATAGATTGTTTGTGTAGTTATTATTTACTTAGTGCTTGATGATAATATATCATTGTAAAACTAATTCATTATTTTCCAGTGACGTTAAGTATTAATTAAGGTATCAGTAATTTCAAACATTTATAAACTTTATGAACAAGAATATTCAGATAGTGACCTAAGCTTTGTTGGTGTTTTTTGATTTCACATAATAATTTGGTAAGAAATCATCAGGGCCAATATCTAATTTGACTTAGAGATATAAGTCAAATATTTTGAAGCTCAAATTGGACATTATTGACAAACCAGACAAATTAAAAGATCTGCAGTCTGATATATATAACGATTGTAAGAAATAAAGATATAAGTAAAACCTATATAAACAGTAATATTATATGATCTAGGTATTGGTGT